GACCTGTGTGGAGAGTCAATAAACGTGACCTCTGTCTCTGCATTCTGGTGTGTCGTGTGAGTCAGTTCCCCTGCCGGTCGGGGGTTCAGAGGCCGCGCGGCGCAATCTCCCTCCCAACTAATCATTATGTGAGGGGAAAATAAATTTTTTTGTTTATTTAAGCAACTATAATCTGATCGCTTATTAACTGGAGTCCAACTTTGTCTTTAATTGATACTTTCACATAATTAGGGTTTAGCATTGAGTTTATTTGAGTCTCACTGCTTTTTAAAAAGTCATTTAAAATGTACTGATGCTAACAAGAGAAGTAGATTAGTACTAAGGCAATAGAGACAGACTGAAATGATTGTAAACAGTCTGTAAGTAACACTAAAAAAAAATCTGGTGACAGGAAAGTAAACATAATTCAGTCTCCGAATATTTATTAACTATCTCCTACTTACCATACTCTGCCATTACAGTCAAAAACATACAAATCTCAGTGAAAACCAGATATATGAGACCAACATACAGTTGTAGTGCACCTGCCTGTATTCCAGTTTAGCACTGGAGATTAGGGAAGAGGATCGCTATAAGTTTGAAGCCACCTGGGCTGCACAGTACAAAGTTCAACATTAGCCTAAACCACACAGTGACAACGTACCTCAAACAAAAACGTATGAATAAGAAAAAACATACTAGACATAAGGTGTATTACTGTCACAGTTTTAGGCATCCACTAAGGATATTGGAATGTATTCCATGCAGATACGTGAAAACTACTATATCATTTAAACTATCAGTCCTGGAATGGCCTTACCTCACTATTCTCATTCTTTATCATGTTACTGCTTTCCAAATTTTCTTCATAGACTTCATCACTAATATTATTATCTGAAATAATCTCACTTTGTATGCCCTCCGTCTGGTGCCAATATAGTGGAGGATCACTGAAGACATAAACTATTTATAATAAAAATGTATATCTCAAATGCCTAGAAAAAGTGTCTAGGATGCAATAAATAATAAATATTTGATTAAATATAGACTCACCTTCAATGTCACTTCTTCAAAGTCCTTCAAAGGACATGTTTATATAATTTCTTAAGTATGATTACTTAATTAACACCTATCCTTCCCATTAAGATGGATAAACTATTACTACGGAGTCAATGTCTAATATGTGCATCTTACCTCCCCACTAAGTGTAATGCAATTCTTGGCACAGACAATGCTCAATTAAAAATTGGGAAAGAAAAAAGGAGGTTGGGAAAATGAAGTGAGAGAGCTTAAAAGAGAGAGGTGGAAGAACAGATACCAAAAAGATAAAATCTAGAGGAGGAGGAAAGGAGAAGATAGGAAGATGGCAGATTCTAAAACATACAACATTTGCTTGTACTTCCTAACTTCTTTTCTATCCTTAGTTTGTCCATAATATATTCATTGGACAGTTCTGAAAATTCTTAGCAGTCAACTTGAATTATCATTAACTACTTGTTCTTCTTTAGACTTTGAACTCAGGATTACAAGTCTCAAAAGTTGTACATAATGAGACTTACTATTTCCTATGGCCTAACATTAAAAGAAAAATGACTGTAAGACACTTTAACTAATTTCCTAAAAAAACATGTCTTTACATCTAAAAAAGAACTCATTAAGCTGTGTACTCAAAAGATTATCACTCTTTAAAATTATTTTTATCCAAAAAGTTTAACAATGTAGGAAAATATTTAGCAAAAATGTTAGAATGAAAAAAGGGAAAGCAGAGAGTCATAACTGAATCAACACAATTGTGCTTCGACCAGTAATGAAAAAAACTGAAAGATCAACAAAATTTAGGACTTTCAAAGCAGATGAAAAAAAAAGATACGTGAATGAGCAAACTAAACAAAGCTGAATCCTAAATCAGCAATTAAAAAGCAAAGGCATATTCATTATCATGATGGGACCTCAAAAGTTTCAAAAACTGACAACTCCAGTTCCCAAAACATACAAATCATCCAGCAGTGTACTTTTTAAGTAGGCTACTAGAATACTAGAATGTCTTCTCTGAAAAAAAATCACTACTGCCACAAAATGGGGGGGGGGACATCTTACGCATATTAACATGAGTAAAAAGCTTAGTCCCACTGCAAAGGCTGCACTCAACAAGTTCTATTCATATATGCATATCTTCCATTCAACTTTTTGGTAGTCCTCTCTAACATGAAGTGAATGGCCAACTATCAACAAGCATTTAAGAAAAAGTCCAAGTCAAAAGCCAAAAATAATAAAACACACAAAAATCAGCTTGAAGAAAACATTGTACAGGAAAGGAAAACCTAACAGAAACAATCTATAATTAACAACCTTTGAGAACTGGGGAGGAAGAAAAGATACTGATTACTGTAAAAAGATAGTATATTACAATGAAATAATAACTTCCTTGGGGATTAAAACTGTAATAGCAAAAATGAAAACTGAGATAAAAGGCTGAAGAAATCCTTCTAGAGATGCATAAGATCTCCAAAAGAAAACAGGACAGAAAAAGTAAAAGTCCTTCCTCAAAATCAATGATATGTACTTTCAAATTAAAGAGCAAGTGCTTAGTTTAATGAATGATTTCATTAAAAGAAACATAGTAATTATGAAATTTCAGAATACAGGTAACAAAACTCACACTATTCTGCTACAGAGAAAAAAATGTACACGTACTTACATGTGTGTACATATGAATAGAAAAAAGGTTTACGAAATGTTAAGAAGAAGAAAGAAAAAAAAGCAAATGTTATGGTCAATTTTTCTTATGCATTCTACGTATTTCCAATATTCCATATTCCTTTCTTGCTCCTTATTCCAAACAATGTAGTTAGACAACTGTTTTTCTACCTGACTAAGAAACTGTTTTTAGATGTATGAAATGTCACATCATTTTGCTTAAACAAAACCTAGCTGGTTATAGTAACCCATTCCTGTAATCCAAACTATGCTCAGGCAGGAGAATCACTAGCTCAAAGACTAGCCTGAGTAATTAGCCAGACTCTAGCACAAAGTAAAAAAGAATAAAAAGGGCTGAGAATATATTTTAGTGGTACAGCGCTTGCTTAGCACATGTAAAGCCCTGGGCTGCATCCCTGTACCTCAAAAAACCAAAACAAACTTTACTAACATGGAAGTACTTCACCTGAGGAATATGAATATGCTAACAGCCATTGAAGCTGTATGATGAGAATTTAGAAGTTCTTTAGTACTATTTTCATTTATTAGCATGTTTGAATATTTACATGATGAGAAGCAGAAAAAAATAGGATGACAGGTTGACACTTCACTGAGGATGAAATTACCTTTGCAGGAAATGTGGAAAGAAATACAATTTACCACTGAGGTCAGGCCCTAGTTCGTCTCATTCCATATAACACGACAAAACCTCCCTCTAACTATCCTCTGACTCCCTTTATCACTTCTGTATTCTACAATCCATCCTGCTGCCACTCCTTTTTCTAAAAAACAGATCTTTTAGCTTTGTATTTCTAAAAAGGCTTCCTGTTGACTACATAAATGTTTGCTGGGTAGTCTTTCTCATTGTGGCTGTACTTCCTACAAACCATGTTAGAAATAACAACAACAAAAAAGTTTATCACACACATTATTAAATATAAATTCTATTTCCAAATCAATATTTCTAACAGACTATTAGTATTTAAACACATTATAAAGGAAATCAAGTCCTTTTTCAGAATCAAGTTAAGGAGAATGGAACAGTCAACAACCTCTCAAATAATCAAGACATTTCAAAATGAACTTTCAACATACTTACAAAATACATATACAAAATATATTTATCACCACCTTGAATGGGAGATCAGCTCAAATGAATTTCTTTTTACTCTGTTTTTAAAGTCTACTCTAAAACATATAGTATAGTATAAAGGAACTGACAGTTTATAATGGCAGTCCTTATTTTTGTATTAAAATATTCAGTGCAATTTTTTAATCACACTGTGATTTACTACAAACTAGTTCATGAAGACACCTTGTCTATCTACTCATTATAATCAAGAATTTAAAAAAATTCAATGCCTAAGTAGACAATATCCCCAAAGAACCTGATAAACTATTTATATTAGCACAGATAGCATCAAAATATTTACAACAGGACAAGTACCAAATAATAATAAATTAAATTAAATTCTCTGTGCAGACCTCTGACCAGCAGAGTGGAACATATGCAGATAGAGCACATGTACTGCATAAGGCTTTATTTTAGTGGACAGGGCTCGTGTCCTCCCAATGGGCACAGAGTTCCACATCCAGACCACAAAAGTTTCTACAGTAAATCATACTCATTGTTCACCCCAGTGTTATTCAATGTAAGAATCAAAGAGTAGAGAAAGAAAGCAGAACACTCAACCAAATTTCAAGAAAACAAGTATGAAAATATTACTGTTTTGACCAGCTCTGTGATTGTACCACGGTAGGGGGAAGCCAGAAGTCAGACTTGACACACAAATGCTGTCACAGAAACTGCTCCTTCTAAATATTAATTTTAAAAATCAATTGCTTTATCCCATTTCTTGAGTTCTCAGAGACTCTCAGAGAACACATAAAATTCTAGACAACATCTTGAATTATAAGAGAAATCATACCAATGATTTCTGTGTCAGATAAATAACATTTCTTTTTAAAGAAAATTGAGAAAAATAAACCTTTAATTGTGCTGATAAAGATTAGAATATGATCCACAATGAGGGCTTAATCTGTTGCTATGGACTTTTATATTTTACAAGCAAATATGTACTAGACACAAAATATAATCTCAATATATAGCAAAGAATAGTTTTACTTGGCATTTGTTAGTATAATAAGCTATAAATACACATGCTCGCCGAAGAACAATCAGCAAATTTGTAAGTCACCAGGAAGCTGAAGGGTTGGAAAGAAAGGTAGCTATTTTCATTTTAAATTTGTCCTTTCAATAGTGGTATGGGAGCAGACTCAAGAACAAAAATGAGAGCAACCAAGGATAATTTACTAAAATTCACCTTAAAAAGATTGAATCTGCCATCTTGCATCTCTGCACCTGGTGTAACTTCCATAGTACAGTCTTCGGCCTAAGTTAAATAACATATTCCCCATTAAGATACCACACAATTTTTACTTGATAGGCCATATAAGACAAACTAGCTATGGCTAGTCTGTGATTTGAAACTAAGAAAATAAGATAATCATTAACATGAAACTTTAAAAGCAAAGGAAGGGAAAAAGCAAACATGATAAACAGAATGAAAAATTTAAACTTCAATAAGCATTTAACCAAACTTATAGAGAAAAGTGACTTATTTAGGATATACAAATAGGACATTAGAAAAGACAGGGCTATTCTGGAATGTTTACTAATTACCGTAATTTTATTTGTAGTAGAAGTAACTGGTATAACTTCAAGTCCCATTCGTATTCTCTTTTGTTTTTCACAGTAAGCTTTCCATGTATCTTCATTAAACCCGTAATTAAAATAATCAGAAAGATCAGCACCTACAGATCAAACACAGTTTTAATGTGCAAATATTTCAACTCTGTAGAGCATAAAAAATATGAACCATAAAAATACGATTCTATGGTGCTATTGGTGTCAGCATTCCTTCTAATTTTACTTTTCAAAATTAACCAGCACAAAAGAAAAAGAGTACAAACACTTTGATCAAAACATATGATAAACAATATTCAAGTCTATATTCAAAGAAATATCAGGCCACTAGTAAGATTTAATCATACAAGTTTTAGCAGTCATCAACTGCTCAAGTAAAAAAAGAAAGGAAAGAAGAAAAAGAAAAAATACTGGAAAAAACAATATCCTAAACTGATGGTCAAAATTATTTTTCTGATGACATGAATACTTTTTAAAATTAATATAATATAATCCACAATAATCTTACCAGGTTTACGCCATGGTTTATCTTCAAAAGAATCCAAATCTACCTCCAAGAGTGGAACTCCATTAATGCTTCCAGGAGCATCAAGGTCTACACCTTTGACTTTTGTTCCTATTGTACAGAAATACAAAATGATAAAGGTGCTACATAAGCAAAAACTAGAGTATACAACAGAGAACATTAACACAGCTTTACCATTCTTAGCACAATAAATGGCAAGGATTCAATGTTTACTTTTTACCACAAGGAAAAGCAGGTTAAAACAAACCTTATGCTTTAACTATTAAGATAAGCTGAATAAAAAGATTAGGGACTCATTACTTATATATAAGGGATTATTGTCCCAATAAGAAATTGCTAACTTTCATGTTTTAAATCAGTTTTATACAATGAGTGAAGAAAAATTTTTAAAGAATTATAAAAGAACAACAATAACAACAGTAAGAACTAGGAATAATACAGAATTACATAGCCAGTGCAGCCTAAAGTGTTTACTCTCTGAACCTTTATGTAAAATTTGTTGATGTCTGTGACATACAGTAAAACATTATTCATTTCATTCATTAAAAGAGCTATTATAATCTGCTTATGAGCTATTTAAGACATATGCCCTTTTTCCTAGTGATGTAACTATAAATTTTACCTGTGCTTCCATAAACTCTTCCCCCTGTCTTGATGTTAAGATTTACAGGTGCTGTACCATAACTCCTAAAACAAATCAATAAAAAATTATCTGAGAAATATAAAAGGATACAACACAGTAATATTATGTAATGTGTTACACATCCACACAAATAACAATGGTACTATATTTGGCTACATAGCTATAAATGGACAGACTAACACACTCATATTTTAGAAAATGTCTTAAAAATCAATTTTAAAAGCCTGCCACTTGCTCAATTAAAAAAAATACGTTTTTAAAAGTCTGACATTTTCCTATCTCAGAAATCATCCTGCCCCTATTTCAATATCCCACTGTACCAAACTTCACAGGAGTTACAGACATCTATTTCCTTTCCTCCTAGTTCTTCAATACACAGCAATACTGCAAGAGTGATTTCTCTATCTTGTTCCAAAAATTCAGTGATCCCGTTTTAGTCATCCCCACATTTTATATTATTGATAAAACCTCTTTCAAACATCCATGGAGTACTTTGTTTACAAAATGAATTCATTTATATGAATTTTAAAAGAGCCTGGGGTAAAGCAGAATGTGCTGGTGCTAGGTGACAAGGAGCAAGGGAGAAACTTCTAAAATGTTTGTCATGTTTCTTGATCTGAATTTTGTCTACATGAGCATATACATTTAAAAAATTACTGTGATGCACCTTCACATGATAGAGAAGTTCAACAAACCTATGTTCAAACTCAAGTTTTGTCAGCAATTAGTTGTATAACCTTGGTCAAGTACTTTAACTCCATTAGCTTTATGTAAATTTTTTTGTAAGATATTTAAAGACAGTTTTCTACTTGCTTTCAAGCATCCTTATATGAGTAGAAAAATCAAACATTCTAACTAAAATAATTAAGTTTACATACGAGAAGAGGACATAAGGAATTGGATGAAGAAGGCAAGAATCATAGTGAACAAATATGTTACTAGGACATGAAGTTATAGATAAATGGTCAGTGGTGTATTTCTCACAATTTGTTATTTAATTTGGTTCTTTTTCCCTCAAAAATTTAGTCAACTGGACTTACAATGATTCATTGCTTTTGGTTTGCCTAATAAAAATCTGTGTTTTAGGGGCTGGGGATTTAGCTCAGCGGCATAAGTGCCGGCCTTGTAAAGCAGGCAGTCGTGAGTTCGATCCCCGGTACCGATAAAAAGGAAAAAGACAGGGCTGGGGATTTAGCTCAGCGGCATAAATGCCTGCCTTGCAAGCAGGAAGTCGTGAGTTCGATCCCCGGTACTGGTAAAAACAAAAAAGACCAAAAAAAAAAAAAAAAAAAAAAAGGGCTGGGGATTTAGCTCAGCAGCATAAGTACCTGCCTTGCAAGCAGGTGGTGGTGAGTTTGATCCCCGGTACCGATAAAAAGAAAAAAGACAAAAAAACAAATAAATAAATAAATAAATAAAGGAAAAAGACCAAAAAAAAAAAAAAAAAAAAATCTGTGTTTATCTTCAATTTAGTAAATCTATAGAACTCAGACTTAAGTTACATTACCACTATTATTTTTGTGTTTTACCTTTGTTTTGTTGGTTTTCTGAGACAGAGTCTCACTATGTAGTTCAGGCTGGCCTTAGACTCACACACCCAGTTCCTTTTACTTTTTTTTTAAAAGGACAAATGCAGTAAAATATATAAATAAGCGTAGCTCCATTGCTACAAATGCAAAAACTTATAAAGTAGCTGAAATTAAACTGTTACTATCATTACCAAGTTGAAAAGTGATTCATTTAATAAATGCATATTGAGCAAGACAATATGTCCAAAACTGGTCTCGACCAGTGATGGTAAATCTTTTAGAGACAAGTAGCTAAACTAGAATCCTAAATTTACAGTATTTATCACAAAGTGCCAATACCTCAACCAAACCTGAATACTGAGGTTTTAGTTTCAAAAAAAACAATTTGGACACTAACATCGTTTGGCCTAGAAGAAAAATAATAACGTGTACCATAGGTCTACCATTACTGGTCTAAATGAAGGATGGAAAATGAGGAGCTAGATAAATATGGTTCCTGTCTTCACAATCCTTACATGTCAACAAGTCAAATTTAGTATAGCAAAAGCACCTAAGAAATATCAAAGTATAGTATGACGTATATACATTCTAGTTTTAAAGCTAATAAGCTTTACAAAAATCAAGGACAATATTGAAACTGTGCTCTTATAGGACTGCTACAGGAGGAAAAAAAAAAATCAATGAACCTTATGAATATGAGCCATAAATGTTTGCTAAATGAGCTTCTGTGCATCCTATACCCTGTCCCTACTGGGCTACCTTTCACTGCCTCTTCTGTTACTTTCAATACTTTTTTAAAAATGCCATCATGTCTTTATATTCTGTGCATGCACAGAAGCTTTGCTGTACAGAAAATTGCCTGCAGAAAATCTGATACACTGTCCAACAGACCACTGTGATCCATAAAGTCTCAGGCTCCACTAAGCGTCAGATACACTTAAGTTTCCTAAAAGAAAATGTGTCTATTTAAACTGACATTTGGGGTTGGGGATATAGCTCAGTGGCACAGTGTCTACCTGTCAAGCACAAGGTCCTGAGTTTCAATTCCCAGTACAAAAAAAAAAAAAGATGTGTTAAATCTTTTTAACTTGTTCCTCCCATTATGTATTCAATGGACTACTCAAAAAACCCTTGCCAGGAGTGGTCGTGCATGCCTGTAATCCTAGCACTAAAGAGGCTGAGGAAGCAGGACCATTTGGAGTTTGAGACCAGCCTGGGGCACCAAGTGAGCTCAAGGTCAGCTTGAACTGCATAGTGAGACTCTGTCTCAAAAAAAAAAAAAAGAAACCCTTAAGTTACTACTTCCTTAAGTCTTCATGTACAACTAACCAGTTAATCATGGTACTACTTCATTCACTGCTCACCCAAATAACTTTCTTATCCACCCATCCCTATGCTACTGTATACATCTGCTACATACTGCTGCATCAGATTGTCATCTTAGCTGACCAACGACAAATAGTAGCTAATTTCTCTTCATCAAATCCATTCCAACTATTGCTACTAAATGTATCTTTCTACATAATCTAATCCATCTAAAAAAACTTCTAAAGTTCCACAAGGATGTACAAAAACATCATAATCTCTTCTTTAAGAAACTTCATCCCCCGTTTTCACCTACCTCCAGTTAAGTAGCAGCTCTAACAAATGTTTCCACTATGATCACTTACTTATTTAAGCAGCACCCTTTGTCTAAATTTATCAGTTTTCTGCCTGACACAAGACTTATTTAAGCAAGCTGGAATGATATCTCTGGAATCCTCAACATTTGTAGGCTTTTAGCAAGGATCAAAGTTTTAAATCACTTTGTATATACTTCTGTCACTTACATTGCACTGAAATTATCTCCCACTTACCTGTTTTCCTATTTCTGAAAAATAAGGGCTATTTCATTTTTTTTCTTATATCCCATCATCAATTAATTAACTCTGAAATAAAAAACTGGTGTTTCCACCAACTCTCTCTAATTAGTTAACTTTACCATTAAGACAAGTATTTGCATGGTGAAATTTTAAGAGTTCTTCTGTATCATGGTTAAGATGGAAAAATATAAAAGTGAAAATAGTCACTTATGGTTAGACACTGGCCGGACAAATGGTTGCTTAAAAATACTTATTAAAAATCTTAACTGAATTTATTATAATAAAAAATGAAAAGAAAGTGTAAATGTCTGGATGAATCTCGGTGGTAACAATTATTCCTGCTTTGATCTACTTTCTTTATATTTAACTGATGTATAAAATAAACTTTAACAAAAGCACAGTTTCCTAAAAAATGTTATTTTGCACTTTCTAACAACTTACAATACCTAGTACTCTTTCAACACATTTTTTGCTCTTTAAATTAGCCTCTAGTCAGGCATGGTGCACATGCCTGAAATTCCAGCAACTGCAGGATTTGGATGGGAGGATCACTGTGAGTTCCAGGCCAGTCTTGGTTACATAGTGAATTCAAGGCTGGCTTGAACTACATAGTGAGACCTTGTCATAAAAATAAGTAAGACTCTAAAAATACTGTGCACAAAGTAAATATTTTACCAAATTTTATATTCTTCCTGGCTTTCTTTTGATCTTCAAGCGATATATAAGAAATATATTTTGCTTTCCATAGTCATACACTTGCAAATACAAACAATCTGATTTAACAAAATCTACTGAACATGCAACAGTTATCATAATGCAGATGATAAAAGCCCTGCTAGTAGAAAGACCTATGACGATTACACTATAAAATCCACACTAAATCTTCATTTTCCCAAGTGGGAAATGCATAGCACAGTAAGACTCTTCATCTTTATTGAGTCTCTTCACTCCCTAAAAAGTTGCCCTAAGAACTACATAGTCATCATTATAATGCAAAGTTCACTAGAGCAGTAACTGAGTATCTTTAATCTTCCTGAAAAAGAACTTCTCAAAAAAGCAGCTTACTGAACAATAAAATTTTCACAAGTATTTACATATACAGTATACTGACTGATTCCAGGTAGGACTGCTTAATGAAATTAGTGAAATTATTTTATGATTTTATTCACCCAACGCACAAATTTAAGAACCAATTTAATTTTTTTAAATTAGTCCACGCTTGCTTTGAACTATGTGGTCAAAGTTGGCCTTGAATTTACAGAGATTTGCTTGCCTTGGCCTCCTGAGTGCTGGCAATATATGTATGTCTCCTGGCTATAGAGCCGTTTTGAAAAACAAAAAATGCTGACTCAATTCTACTAGTATAACAAAATTCCAATGCATAGATACTTTTAAGACAATCCTTTCTTCTATTTATGATTCTTTATGCATTCAATGAGACAACGACAATCTGTTTTCTTGATTCAATTTGTAGAACCTGAAACTATTACATTCACATAAAAAGCCTAATGAATAATTAACAGCTTGAAAATAACCTATGAAGGCAAAAGTAATACATTTGATACTATTTTGTTAGCCTCCCTCAAATTGGGAGCCTAAAGTCTGCACGAATAATAATGTGAAAGAATGAAAAACAAAATTAAAATTTAAGGTTATCCAATTCTAACCACAGAATTTGAGGCACTCAATTCTTTAAAAAATATTTTAAATGCAGGAATCAAAAACTGCTGCTTTTGCTCCCTAGTTAACTAACTCTATATCTAGTAAAGAATTATCTTTGTGGGGAAATTTTAATTAAGAGTTCTTTTGCATCATGTTGAGATAGAAAATTTAAACACAATAGACACTGATACAGACACTATAAATTTACTACGTAGCTTTCACAGACTGTTAATTAAAAATAACTTACCCATACTGTGGTGCTCCTGTTTTAATGTCTCCTATAGTGACATGGACATCATCCTCATCATCATCACTGTCACTATCACTATCGTCTTCAGTCTCAGTCACTTTCTACACCAACATAAACAATTATAAAATCCACTCAATAATACATTGCAAGACAACTAAAAATTTGTTTTGAAATATAGTTTTAAAGAAAAAAATTACAAGTTCATAAAGCTGCTACTTACTGTATTTTAATTCATTTGCAACTTTAATGTTCTACATGACAAATTTTTTTCTATTTACAACTGCCCTTACTGCAAAAAGGATCTAAACCAATGTAGTAAGATATCCACCAGATAACGTCATAAAAAGTAAGTACTTAAGAAAATCTTGGCGCATCAATATTTGAGAAATTCTTTTCTTCTTACATAAATAAGAGGAAGGTTAAAAAGCACCAAATAGTAATCTGATTACTGTTAGTATTCATTTATACCCATAAGCAAATCACTGTAAAAATAAGTTGCATTTTTAAAGTGAAGCCATTTCTGAATTTTTTATGGCTCTAAAAAGCTACTACTGTAAGTACTTAGTTATACGTAGTAAGTAAGATTACTTAAGTAAAATACATTTCATACACAAGTTCAACTCTGCAAAATAAATTTTCTTCTTTCTCTCAGATTAAAATGTACAAATGTTCATAGGCTTCCCAAAATATCCATTTAATAGGTATGAAATTCGGGACTATTCACACATAAAAAGATAACTGCTAGAAAACTGTAACATTTAATTAAACTTAGGTTCCAGGTTGCAATGATTGCTTTGAGAATCAATCTCACCATGATCTATTCAGTATTTCTATAACCATTCAGTTTTTGAAAGCACATCAAGCCTTTCACGTTATATTTTTCTGTAGTCTCTTCCCACTATTTGTTTTCCTAAGCTCTTACCAATTTTTCTGATGATACCAAATGAAGGAGATATAAGACGCCAGATCACACAGAATACAGAAGGTTATGGTAAATGTCTGCTTTATTTTTAAGCAACTACAAAGTTACTGGTTAAGGTTTTAAGTACAAAAGTAATTAGATTTCAAAGTTTCATGTTTATGTTACCGGTTTTGGTACGCCATTTTCGGCAGTTTCATCTTCAATTCCAGATGGAGGATTAGCACTACAAACAACAAAAGGTGCCTATATCAGACATTGCTTTTGAAAGGACATATTGATTATACGACTTTAAAAGTTGTGTATTAAAAACCCTAGGAGCATAACATTGGGTGCAGCAGGCCCATCCCTTACTTTCCTACCATAAATTTGCACTTCAGTGTAATAACACACTGTTATGTGTCTCAATGCCTTTCCCTGAGACACAGGAAGCAATCTCTGTGTTTACCCACTTGCTATGATGAACAGCAATGTGTGTGCACATGTACAAAAGTAACCAAATGGGATTTTTACCCACACTATGCAACATCTGTGTATGTTTATCCAAGTATAACAGAGGGTCTAAAAGACCCACGTCACTCCAAAATTTGTTAAAGTAAGTTTTCTTTTGATTTTTCTGGTAAAGTTCAGTACAATGGCACATTAAAAACCAGATTTGAAAATTTTGGAGGTCAGAGTGCAGCATCAGATTACTGACATCCATTATAGTAAAATACATGCTTTCATTACAGAACAGTGGTGTGGGCTGATGATGATGATGATTCTGACACTGGCCATGTAAGCCGAACTCCTGTCACAGTGAAATGGAGCAAGAACTGACCCATAGGGCTGGGGATTTAGCTCAGCGGCATATGCACCTGCCTTGCAAGTGTCTGATCGTGAGTTCAATCCGTGGTACCGATAAAAAACAAAAAGACAAAAAAAAAAAAAAAAAAAAAAAAAAAAAAAACTGACCCATATAAACATGGGGAATGTAGACTTTTTTGACTCAAATGACGAAAACAGCAATGTGAGTACATGTGTGACTAGCTGAAATGCTGTGAAATGGCTACACAATCAAATAGAATGTTCTCATGTTGGGCTGGGATTTAGCTAAGTAGCATAAGCACCTGCCTGGCAAGCGCGAGGTCGTGAGTTTGATCCCCAGTAACCACCCCCACCACCAAAAAAAACGATCTAATGTTGGAATTGGGTCCAAAAATACAGTGAGAGTCTTGGCAGGAGTGAAACTATTGAACAGAATGCTAGCCCTGCCATTCAATGTAACAGACAAAATGCCACAAGATCCTGTGAAATATACAAAGGCTGACATGCAGGTAAAACATTCTGTATGCACCAATAACCATATTTAAAAATGTATATGACACCTAACTAACTGAACTGAAAGCATTCATAGATCTGCTACTACTTAGCAGGGATTTTTCTCATGGTGATCACAGGAATGTGTAAGACTTACTGAAAAGCAGTAGGTCGAAATATGGCATAAAAATTTATGCCCTTGTATATAAGACTTATTATGCTTTCAATTTAGACATTTATCCTGGAACTCAACCATCAGGTCCTTATTTGTGTAGTAATAAACAAAATGTTGTGAACGAACTGTCGCTCCCATCTCCCAAACTACTGGGATGTGACATACGACAACTGGTTTACCAGTTTCCAACTGACGTTACATTTGCTACCAGAGTACAAGTTGATCAGTACAGGAACTGTACGCAAGAACAAAGCAGAAATTCCAAGTGAAATATTGCAATTTCAAAACAGAGAATTGTATAGTACAATCTTTGGATTTCAGAAAGATATAACATTGGCTTAATACATAGTGAAGAAAACAAACTGGTACTGCTGAGGTCAACACTGTACCATGATGGAAATACTGACAGGGAAACCTTGAAGAAAGGAAATCTAGGATGGAAACTCTCTGCATCCAAAGGTAGAACAGATGTTGTGGGCCAATGGATGTGTTTCACTCAGGCCTAATTGTATGTGGCACAATTTGACACATAGAAAATAACACATGCAAAGTATCACAAAGAAATTTTCTTAGAGGACTGGGAATGGAGCTCATAAGAGATCACACAGCAGAGAAAAAACAAAATGTTTCTGCCTATGAAACTATGTGAAAACATTGTTGAGCACACTGGTGAGCTGACAGGTGAACAAGCAGGAGTTGTATCACAAAGACATACTATTACTACAGGAAACCCAAGAGGATGTCAACTGTGGCCTACAAGACCGTATAGGAAAACAAAACATAAGTAAGTGCCATCAGCGGAAGTGATATTTGTGTATACACAAATATGTACGAAGCATATGTGTGTGAAGCATTCATGTGTGAAGACTGCCTTGGCTATGGCAGTTGAAGCAAAGCTTATTTCTGTGATACACTTACTTGTGTTTACAGTGTAATTCACATAGGTTTTTATTTTTGATGTTATCTTTTAGATTTTGTAAGCAAGGAAACAGCTACTATGAAAATGTTGATGTTTATTCTAAGCATTCCTTACATGTGCGATATTTTACTGATGCATGAAACGTATGCAGTTGTTACACGTGAAGACTGTCTTGGTGTGACTGCTGAAGCAAAGATTATTTTTGTTGTACAGTTCTTGGTTATTTTCATTATAGTTCATATAGGAATTTATTTCTGATGTTACCTTTTAGGTTTTGTAAGCAAGTACAGCTGATGTGAAGATGCTGTCTATTCTAAATACACAATACATATGAAGAGTACTTTATTGTTATTTTATGTTCCTGATGACTACACACAGTATAACAAGAACCTCCTGACAAAACAGAAAGACCACTGAGATATGAAGTACGTGCTACAAAAAACCTAGGAAAACAAAACACAAGTGCTGCCAGGAAAAATGATATGTGTATATGGAATGTTTTGTTGTCATGTGTGTCCTACTTGTGATTAGGGTGTTTTTTTTTTTTTAATATCAGGGATCAATCTCACAACCTCCCACACTTGCCAAGTATGTGCGTATGGCAACTGAGCTAAATCTCTGGCCCTGAGATTATTTTTTTTCACAAAGTATTATTGGTATTTTCATTATCAGAATTTGTGTTGTGGGGCTGGGGATTTAGCTCAGTGGCATAAATACCTGCCTTGCAAGCCTGCAGTAGTAGTTCAATCCCCGGTACCAAAAAAAAAAAATCCCAAAATTTGTATTGTTCTTTTTTAACACTTTCTACACCAAAAAAGTCAATGTTGCAAATTTTGTTTTATAAAACAATACTTTTTTATATTTTATAAAATACAATAAAACAATACTTTTATGATTTTTTCCTATTAACTACTCGTTTAATAAAAATAAAATGAGTAATTTATCAATAGAAATATTCCAAAGAATAAATATGGGTCATACAGACCCATGTTTCTGTGCCAATATGATAAATTTAGTGTTGTTTCGAAAGAGATTATCTCCTTTGGATAGTAAGAACAAGAATGGGAAAATGTGTCTTTTTCCCTGTTATTGCTAATAGTTTGCATAAAATAAGTACTTCTGGTAGATTAAGTAATGGTCGACTTGTAACACCCAGCTGAACAAATCAGCATAGTCTTGGACATGCAAGGTCCACCTGAGAAGATTGTTGCCAAGAACACCAAAGGAGAACTGGAGAGGAAAAGATGGTATGCTGCTCATTTTCCTAGAGAAGCTTCTAGGAAAGATGTTCTCATCTTCGGAAGGGCTCAACTCCATGCTGTTGCTGAGGATGGCTGTGGTTCTTTTCAAAAGCGCTCAGGTTCTTCTCTCGTAGCTTCCTGGCTACAGTGCAAATCTCTGTCTGCTGGCACAGATCCTTCATCTTGCTGGTGCAGACTTTCTAGCTCCCACCACTGACCTTTGGTTGGGCCTTCCCAAAGCAGTTCCTTGATACAGACCTGCATAAGACCTTGTTGAAGATTCTAGGCCTCTAGATGGACTTCTGGAGGACACTGTTATGGTCTCTAGGTCTTCTAATAGTGCAGAAAAATGCCATGGGATCCAGGACTTCAGCTGGATTCCTTACATCTCTAGTATGTGGATGGATTTCTTGCATTCATCTGCATTTGACTTTTTGGGTGACTATCATAAAATAATCCTATAAATTAAGGGTTGTATTAAATCTATTCCCATGCAAACTCTGATTACAACAAAATTGGTACTAGGAATTGGGACACTGCCTGGTCACGTGACTTAAGACACTTGGAAATTAATTTGGAGAGATTTTTGAGAGACTGGCCAAAATGGCAGCCCCCATAGGCCATAAACTATATGGCAGACTCCAGTCAGAGCCTGGAAAATCAGATTTTGATAGAAATGCTGCCAGTTAGGATGAGGCTCAGGAGGCTTCTACTAAAAAGGACTGCACTGGTTTTGGATCTCAGGTGGTTTTGCTTTGGCAGGAAGATGGTCTGCACTTGCTTGCACTTAAAAGAGCTTGGGTATGAGAAAAATTCCAATGCAGTCTACTATTGGATTAGAGGCATGGTTGTTCTTTTGGCCAGCAGGAAGGCTCCACTGGAGCTGTGGACTGCAAGGATGAAATAGAGGAGAACATGGTTTTTGAGAAGCAACAGGACAATAAAAAAAATGACCTAAGCCTTTCACCAGAGGCAGAGTGTGTCTGAAATGCAGGAGATTCCTTGCTGTGTTTCTTAGTGTTGCCATGCCCTGTTGTTAAAAGTTAATGGGAAGCAAGGATTGTGAATGTAATAGCTCTCTTAAATAATGTAGTTTGTAGATGTATGTTGATAATCAGGTTATTTAGTCAAAGTATTGTGGTATTAATCTTGAATTCTGAGAAGCTTCTGATTATGTTTTTGATGTGGAAATGAGTGTAATAAAAACTATATATATATATATATATATGTAATTGTTATAGAAATACAAATCTTTACAGTTCAAGACATGTCAAGTTTTCACAAATCTGCTTCATGAGACTATGGTTTAACGAAATGTGTCTGGTTATCAAGTTGGCTGGGGGGACTGTAGTGGATTAACTAATGGTCAGTTTGTAATACCCAGCTGAACTGTATCAGCATGGTTCTAGACGTGGAAGACATGGAAGGCCCACCACAGGACTGCTCCCACAGTACCAAGGGAGAACTGGAGGGAAAGATGGTGTGCTGCTCACTCTCTTGGAGAAGCTTGTCATGCTAGTTTTCCTAGTATGAACTCAGCTGCTGTCATCTTTGGAGGAGCCTGGGTCATCGCTGTTGCTGAGGATGACTACAGTTCTTTTCAGGGAAGGTCTAATCATTAACTTGGGCACTGCTTCCTGGTTCCAGTGTAGAACCTTCAGTCCCCTGGCACAGGCACTTTGTCCCACTGGTGCAGACTTTCTAGCTTCCACTACTGAGGGCCTTCCCAGTGCACATCCTTCATAGACACTTGCACAGGACATGAATTCTCCTGCACTCTTCTGCACTTAACTCTTTGGGTGACTATAAAATAATACTATAAATTACATGTCCTGTATTAAATCCATTCCCTTGTAAACCCTGATTACAACAACACTCAACATTAGAAGTAACAACTAGGGTGCAGCGCATTTGACTAGCATGTGTAAGGCAGGGGGTTCAACTCCCAGAAGTGCAGAGAAAATAAGAGCACATTAGGAGTAAATGAAAATGCTGCTGAATTTGTGAATGACTGGCAATTTGATAGTGGGATAAAATTCAAGTCTTTACATTTTACAAGGATGCAGCAAACTTAATTTTGATACTAAATCTTTACTAAATATCTACTGTGTGCCAGGTAACTACCAACAGCTATGTAAAATGGATTCTTCTTTGGACAGCTATTTCAAAGAGAACTATAAACATTATGGTAGCCATTATTGATTTTCCTATTGTCTGGTTTTGAAGGCCTGTAATGCTTTTATTCTTTTGCTTTCTAGTTTTATACTATATTGTTTTGCTTGAATTCATCGTGTGTGAAGATACAGACAACTATTTCGAAGATAACAAGAGACAATATGGTAGCCACTCTTGATTTCTTGTCTTGTTTTAAAATCCTGTGTTGATTGCATTGTTTTGTTCTGATCTGCTCTTTTGTTTTATTCTCTTTAAAATAAAATAAATAAAAATATTCTTCTTTCCTTTGGTGTAGATAAAACACAGATTTATGATATGATCACACTGTTTCAGTATTCAGTTAACATGCATACTTGTCTGATTTCCTTTGAGTCATATACATTAAGATACATTTTAAGTCACATTCATAAGATTTATGCTCAAAGTTAACCAATGCCAACTAGATTCTTGTATTTTCATAATTTTAATTTTGACAGGAATTAGCCATCACCTCATTTTACAAATAGGAAAATTGATGTACACAGTAACAAATTAGTTTGGGCCGTCTCTCAGGAAAAATTTAGAATTACTTCTGAGAAAAATATTCAACTATTTCCACAGGTCAGGACTCCTCATTAGATTTCTGCTAATCTCTTCTAAACTTCAATTTTCTCAAATTAATAAATTCAATCTATTAAATTTCATCTACAGAGGCATTTTAGAACACCAACCCTGAAAAAAAGAAACTAAAACTTTAACTGTTAAGATTTTCCTTGTTGGCCAGGGATTTAGCTCAGCGGCATAAGCACCTGCCTGGCAAGTGTGAGGTTGTGAGTTCAATCTCCAGTACCACTCTCTCTCTCTCTCTCTCTCACACACACACACACACACACACACACACACACACACACAAAGATTTTCCTTGTTCTAATGCTTGACTCAAGAGAAATATTCAACTACCATCTTCAAATACATGTAATTCCTACCTAAATAACTTTTAGATAACTAGATACAAGTTCCACTTGTTTTCTTGGTTTGGTTTGTGTGCATACACGTGTGCTGGGTATTACACTGTCACTTGCTTTTTATATGTCACAAAATAGTATACTACTACCAAAATTAAAATGGACAAAACAGTGTAACAGAGACAGTGTAATACATGGGTTTAAGACAGTGGTCAGCAACGAACCAGTCACAAAGAAGCTGTGGCAAATTCCATTCGCAGGTGCCTACCTTACATAGGGCAATAATACCAAGCTAGATACTAGGTGTGCAAAATTCTTTTTCCTAATGGACCTACTCTTTTAGAAGTTTTAATTCACTATCATCATTAGTATGTGACAAATTTGATAAAGTTATGTAAGTTTTCTAGAAAAATAAAATTTAAAGATAAATATTTTTCTCATGAAATAAAACCAACAGCTCTCTAAGTTTTAATAAGAAATATAAAAAGTTTTGACAGTGACACTCAGGGAGGGTAAAAGATGACTTCTCTATAACACATTTTATTTGGGTATGTATTGGAGAATTAAAGTTCACAGAAAGCAAATGTCAAGACTGTAGATTTATAACTTAATCCCAAATTTGTGGTTGATATTAAGATTAGGTACTAGGGCTGGGGATTTAGCTCAGTGGCATAAGTGCCTGCCTGGAAAGTACGAGGTTGTGAGTTCTAGCCCCGGTACCAAAAAAAAAAAAAAAAGAAGAAAAAGAAGAAGAAAAAAGAATATGTATGCTCAATATTACTAGGTCTCAATGTTTGTTAGCTTGGCGTGGTGGCTCACGCTTGTAATCTCTGCACTCGGGAGGCTGAGGCTGAGGCAGGAGGATCGTTGTGAGTTTGAGACCAGCCTAGGCTACAAAGTGAGCTCAAGGACAGGCTGAACTGCATAGCAAGATCCTGTCTCAAACAGACCAAAAAAAAAAGATTAGGTTCTGAATCATATACATAAATCTCAAAACTAAATTTCAGATATACAGCAATGAATGAAGAAAATTACAGGAGTTATATGAGAAAGGAAAAATTCTGTAATTTTACCTCTTCCTCAACTACTGCTACTTGTTCTCAATTCATTTCTTTGCCATTTTTTAATTGTTGTTATAACAACTTTAATGAGATACAATTTCCATCCATCCATTCAAAGGGTAAAAATACAATGAGTTTTAGCATATTCACACAATGCAGTCATCATAACTAATTCCAAACCATGTGCCTGGATCACAAAAGAAATCTTGTATCTATCAGCAGTCACTTGCACTTCCCCCTGCCCCAAACACTAATCTTCTTGCCTCTGGATTTGCTTGTTGTGTGCATTTCATGTAAGTCAACTCACACAATATGCAGTCCTTGGTGACTGGCACTGTTGACTTAATACAATGTTTTCAAAGTTTGTCCCTTTGGTAACAATTAGCAGTACTTCTTTTCCCAACAGTATTCCATTATATGAGTGTTTCACATTTAATCTACCCATTCATCAGTTAATGGTCACTTGAGTTGTTCACATTTTATAACTATTATGAATAATGCTGCTATGAACATTCAAGTACACATATGGAGGTCTATTTTCATTTTTCTAAAGTATACACCTACAGGTAAAATTGCTCTGTCATATGGTAACTGTTTCATCATTTGGGGAAACTGCTACAGTTATCCAAAGCAGGGGCACCATTTTACAATCCTACCAATAACACAGGAAGGGTTCCAATTTCTCCATATCTTCACTAACATTTTTAATCTGATTGCAACTATTCTACTAGGCATGAAATTGTACCTCCTCCACTTTTTAAATCCAAATGCTCTTTACTCCTCCATTCATTATTTAACACACTAAGCCATCAGGTCAGAGTAAAGTCAACACAGCCATATATTTCTATGCAAGAATTGTTTTGAAATTTATAGCAAATTTCTAGACCCCGGTATACATTCTATAAAGAAATTTATACCTTTCTATTAAATAAAGGAAAATTCTACTTTGAATATAAAGCGAAATTAAAAGCAAAACATATTACATACCATCACAAATATTAATAATTTAAAAAGCAGTTATTTTCAGAGTTCCTTAGGTTAATTATATTTTTCTCAGTTGACTATAATGTATGTTCCACTACTGAGCTAAAGCAAAGAGTAAAAAGTTATTCAGTAACGAAAAACAGTCAATCCCAAACCTTAAAAATTGTCTTAAGACAAAATTGGTATGAAATTGGGCCCTGAAATAGGAATAAACCTAAAGGATACAATGTCCTCCAACCGGTTACTCAAAATGTTATGACCAAGCCAATGATTACAAAATAATTTTAACAATTTGTTGCCAGAAGCACTGCATCATACATTTGTGTAAGCCATCAACAGAAATTTCACTAACCTGGCGTTTTCTTCTTCTGGCCTTTCAACTTCATTTTCATCTACCAAATAAAATAAATAGGATAAATAAATAAATCAAGCTTCTAAACAAAGCAGTATTATGAAAATCTGAAGTGATCATCACAAGCACTAACCTATGTCCTTTGCCAAATCACTGTGCACATGCACGTCCCATGGGCCTATAAGCATATCCAAAGTTAGATCACCCTGTAATTACTGAACAAGACACGTCTTTTAAGAAAAAAAATACGAAGTACTGAAGACTCCTGGATTTTCGATAGAAATCTCACACACATTTTAGAGAGTATTACTAATGCACCTAAGAGAATGAATTTTATCAAATTTACGTAAGTGAGGGGCTGCATGATGCCCAACATGCATCTTTATACTATAGTAAATGAATCAAAATTTTTACGCTTTAGGCACGAAACAAATACTTTCAAATCTTGTGCAACAAGAGAGATTACGATTTAATTAAAGTTAAAAGGCTGATATCAAGTTCCCTTCAAGAGGAAACTACAAAAGTCATTAGAGAAAAATGCATGAGCTAAAAATGAAAACTCTTAAGCCTAAGGGTCATGAGACACTTCTACGATGTGGGTTAAACAGCAGCCTCTTAAAAAAGAAGAGCTTCACCTTAATACGGGAGACATTCAGGGTTTTCTTTATGGATCATAATGTATTCCATCTCTTTCTGCCTTTTAAAAAAAATATTTTTAAGCACGACTTTCGGACAAGGAGGTACCTTTATAGATGCATTCTATGCAAACTGGCCATCAAGAAACAAGACGTTAGTTTTACAGCATTCACTGTATTTATTATTACACAATGACTTTCTGGAGGGAAAAAAAAAAAATCAGGGACAGTACCCTGTGGCAACGGGCAAAAGAGAAAACACTGAACACACCTAAGAACGGAGAGAAAAGGCAGACCTAAAAGGCGTGCAGACGAGGCTACCACGAGGTCCAGGCGGAGAACCCAGCCAAGCGCCCGAGTCCCGGGGCCCAGCGGAGGGTGCGGGCTGGGGGCGTGGGCGGAAGACGCGGCCGCGGCGAGGATGCGCACGCAGCGCAGGGCCTAAGTCAGGCCCGGCAGGGTGCTATCGCAGGCCCGGGGCGCGGGTGCGGAGGATCCGGGACACTGGCCGTCTGCGGGCCGGGAGGGGAGGCCTGACAGAACCCGGGAGAAACAGGGACAGGAAGTTCCGTACCGCCATACAGCCACTCTTCCTCCTCATCCCCTCCGGTCCCGCCGCTCAGCTCCGACACTAGGCGCTCGACCTCACCGGCCGACATGGCCGCCCCACGCACAATTGAAAGGCGGCGATCAACAGCCCTTTCCAACCTCTTCCCCGGGCTTGGTGGCCCGGGGCGCGAGAGGGGCGCGAGTCCGCGGGCGAGCAATAGAAGAAAGCGCGAGACTCAAATCCAAGGAAGGAAGCAGCAGAGGCGGCAAGCATGAAGACTCAGGCCCCGGACCGTCTGCGCACGCGCAGCAGCAATCAGCACGGCGCAGTGGCTCTAGGTGGCTTCGCTTCCGCTACGGCGGCTACCTGGGGCTGCTTGCGCTTGCGCAGCGCAGTTGCGCATTTCCTCCCCCGCCCCTGCGAATACGGCTTGCCATTTAGCAAGGTTTTCTCCCTGGCGTCCTGCATCTGCTCCCCTCCCCCAGTCTTCCCTCTAGTAGCTCCTCTCGCCTTTGCTACACTATTGTTCCCTCTGTCCTTGATGCTGCTTCTCCTTTGAACCTGTTTTTACAGATCTTCCCAAAGGCCTTGTTTCATTCTTCATGTGTATGCTTGATACAGACCCAACGCTGTTTCTCATTAAGTAGAGAAGGAATCATAATCTGTGCTGGGTTTCTCTAAAACTAAATTTAAAAGGCCATCGAAAGAAAAAGTATAATGTGAGTAATACATTGCTCTTGTACTGAAAACCAATACATTCCAGGTTAAAGACTGCCTAATTCATTACCTGTTCTCCAGAGGCAGCCTTTATCTGCTTGAAGTGCCTGTTTTCTAAATTTTCTTTGTGTCTACTGTACCTGTCATATTCATGGAAGAATAAGGAGGGTACTGTCCTCTGTATATTCTTGAGAACTGTCACTTCTTTAAGTTAATTTACCAGGTGAGATTTTTCAATTTTAGTATTTCTGTTCTTTTTAGTGCTTCAGAAATTCAACAGCATGCCTGTTACAAAGTGAATGTGACTGTTTCCCTGTTGGCACACATGCAGATTGCTTTCAACTTTTCACTTTTGTCAAACCAAAAAAAAAAAAAAAAAAAACCCCTGCATTTAACGTTCCTTGTAATTCCCAGATCTGTTCAAGTGTTTCTCCACGCTACGTAATAACATAGATGGCTTTAATATTAAGATAAACTCAGGTTTTCATATCACAACTTCCAAGAAAAAGATGACACAGAATGGGTCCAAAAGGCACTTCTTAATTATTACTAGCTAGCTGGGTGATTGTGGGCAATCAGTCTTTCTCTCTGTGCTTCAGTTTCCTCAACTACAAAAGGAGAGAGTTAAATTAGGTACCTCTAAGATACTTTTCAGTTCTAAAGTTTTCAAATAGAACTTAGTTTTCAACAGAAAAAGGGAATCCATTTTAGTTGTTTGAATCAATGAATAGATTTTTTGTGCTCTTTCATGAATAAATATTACCCTTCTATCTTTAATATTTATTGAATATCCATTGTGTCTTAAGAATTTGAAAAATACAAACAGAAAGCATAGTTGCTGTTTTTAAAGAGTTCTCAATTTATTGAGAAAAATAGAAAGGCAGTAAACAACTCTTCTGTAAGGAAAACGTAGATGCACTATAACTGAAACACAAAGCATTGCATTCTACCAAACCACACCTAAGTGATTTAAGCCATGTGGTATTAATTCTTACTTTTGAATACATCTTTTCCAACTATTCCCAGCTCCTTAATTGTTAATCCCTTGCATTCTTCTAAATCCTGTTGAAGTATAGTCACCTTTATAAAATCTTTGCTGAATCTCACTTCATCTTTCTGCATTTATTCACTAATTCAATAAATCTGTATGGAAATTAATTAAGTGTCGAGAAATGTTCAAGGTTACATAAATTCAACGAGGTTAAAAAAATGTTTTTCCATTTGTGAAGCTTTCAGTTTAATGAGGGAGTCAAACGACAAATATAAATAGGAAATATATCATGTTGATAAGGATTATGAAGAAAGCTAAACTGTAAAGGAGCCAAGAACAAAGTGATGGAGAGGGAAGTGTGCAGTTTTATATCTACTGATCAGAGAAAGCCACTCTAGTAAAATAATATAAGCATAGAGGTGTGAATGGAGACAGGAAGTAGGCCCAATGTATTCTTGGATGAATACACTTATCAGACAGAAGGTACAAAGACCTTGAGGCAGAAGCATACTTAACATGTTCAAGGGACCCAAATGTTGCTGGAGCACAGGAGGGACAGACTGTTGTTATAGTGGATGGCATGGGGGAGTGATGAATGGGACAGAATGGTATATATTTATCACACTGTACAGTAATTATATAAAATGTGCATCTTACATTCTTCACCAGATCAAATCTTCCCTCAAATAGGACATCTTGCTTATCTGTCCTTTCCATTCATTATGGGGTACACCACACTGAGGGGGCTTCTTACCCTTTGGTAAAAGACATGGAATGAAAGAATCCCTTATAGTCTCATCTATGTACCTCTCTGTTTATTATTCTAAGAATCTATAATGAATTTTGGTGGTTTTGTCAAAGAGCTTTTTGCTGAGGAGCTTCTTTCTCCTTCAAGCTGTCATCAAAGACTTTGCCTTTCTATGTCCTGCCTAAACAGGACTGAAGCACCATTGAAAAATAATTGGTACATCAGAGTCATCTTTATGATAGAGGTAGCATTTGAGTTAAGCTTTGAAAATAATGCTTGCTATAAATAGAGAAGCCCATATGTCAGTAATAACTGCTATTAAAGAATTCTTTCTTCCTTGTTCCCAAACCTAATTCCTTGATTGAATGTGCTTCCTTACTTAATGCTGTCTTTATCTCCTTATGAATTAGAGGAAATCTCAAGGAGAGTAGTTTGAAGATATTATATGCATCTACTTTAAGCATTATGATGATATCAAACTATAATACACACATTTTGATATATGTTTTCCATTTTCATTTTTATGGTCTGTCTTATTTTGATTTATCTATGTAGTACAAAAAGGAGTACTTAGGTAAAATGATTAAATTATCATTAAAATGATGAGTTGATCATGGAAGTCTGGTACACAGCAATGAAGTACTCATAGATGTCTTTTGCATAGATACGGCATTAGGCCCATTATACTATTTTCTATTAACTTTAGATATGATACTTAAATCTCAATATTGTTTAGTTCCCAAATATTAAGTCATGGTTTCCAGTTCCTTCTTGGAAGATTATCGAAGCTAAAATGAGGCTTGAAATGTCAAAATATTGGATGAGTTAGAGGCCAGAAAGTATTATGTTCTGGGTTAGGCCTTTTCTCCTTTGCAAAACCAAGACACTATCCCATGTATAGAACATTCCTTCCTCCATGTCCCTCACAGTGGAATCAAGAGTCGTCTATCTTTGCATTTGAATATTAAATTTTATATTACTAGGTTTTTTTTCTGGAGAATCATATTATCTCCTATGTACATCTGTGCTATTATGTAAACTTTGCTCAGTACATCCTTAAGTCCAGCACTGATCACAATTACAGAGTACTTCAAAATAGAGTAAAGCAAAATATGCTTTTTTAAAAAATAAGGAGTGGAAAGCAATTGCTGACTGTTTTCTATACAAAAGCATAGTTCTTATTTTAATAAGATAGATGTGATCATCTTAAGCAGATCATTTTAGAACAAATTCATTTTACTATAGCACAAGTTCTAAAAGGGCTTCTTCCTTAGATTACGTTTTCATTTCTGTCTAGTTTGTGTCCAAAAATATTTCATCCATTTTCATTACTTTTAATACCATCTGTGTAATTGGGACCCAATGACTTTCAAATTTCTACCTGAAGTCTTCTCCTTAAACTTAGCACTCTGCAGCTCTGATGATTCACCAGCTAACTCTCTTAGATATTTTGTAGGCATTTCAAACTTATGTCCAAAACAAAACTTATGAATTTTTCTCCCAAATCTGTATTGTCCCACTCCTGTGCCCCTTGGCTTTCCCATTTTACTATCAATACCTGTCATCTGACTAATAGTTTCAGCCCAACAAATAATCATCCTTCTGTCTTTTTCTTTCATCTGTTCCGGTGACACATGTACAAATCTATTAGCAAAGTCTCTTAGTTCTTTCTATAACATTTATAGCCCAATTCAAGTAATACAAAACCCTGTAATGATGTCTTATTCATATATAAAATGAAATCCAATGTCATGTGGCATAAAAAATTCCTTCAGGAACTGGTAGCCCTTAAATTGCTTGTTGTTCTATAGTTGTGGAACACTATCTTTAGAAATCTTCTATATCACCTCATTGTTAGTCACTTTTGCCAACTCTTTTAGTCTATTCTCTCTCATTTCTGCTAACAGACATTCCTCCTTTCCCCACATATTCCTGTGTTGAAGCTCTGATTCTCAATATAATGATGTTTGAAGCTCTAGAAGTGATTTGGAGGAATTAGTGTCCTCATTAGAACTGACAGGAGCTATTTCTTACTTTTTTCCCTCTCCTCTCTGCAAAGCGAGGACACAGTACAAAGATAGCTGTCATCTGTAAATTAGGAAGACATTTCTTTTCAAAGCTATTCCTCTCCTAGCACCTAGATCTTGGACTATCCAGGTCGTAGTGTTGTTATCTAAAATGTCTCCTAGGAAGCTTATTGTGTGGACACTATGGTTAACAACTGGTGGGCTTTAGAAGTGATTAGGTCACAAAGCCTCTGATATCCTTAGTGGATCAATTCATTGATGGGATCATAATTTGATGCCATTATTGGGAAGTGATAGAAAAAAGGATTAGTTGAAGGAGTTAATCACAGTAATATGATATCCTTGGCCACTTTCTCTCTGGTTTTTTTCCTTTGTTTTCTGGCTGCTATGAGGTGAAAAAAATTTCCCCTATATATCCTTCTAAGCTGATGTTTTTGCCTGCCACAGATATAAAGCACTTCAGCCAGCTAACCATGGACTGAAATCTCTAAAATTGCAAACCAAAATAAATCTTTCTTCCTTTAAATTGATTTTATCAGTTTTGTGTCACAGAAACAGAAACCTTACTAACACAGCAGGTGTCAGAACTATGAAAAATAAAATTTGTGCTGTTTACACCCAGTAAATGATATTTTTTCTTATAACAATCTGAATTATGACAATCTCTGTGCTTTCTCATTTATCTTGAAGGACTGAGTACCTTTGTTTCATTTTATCGACACACCTAACAATCTCAGTATTTTAGCAGAAAGGGATTGTAGTACTTAAATGGTAGAGCACAGACTTACTGTTTGCAAGTCCTCTTTTTGATTATGGGAAAAGAAACAAAAAACAAAGCAGAAAAATATAGCTATTTGTTCTCTTAAACTGAAATCAAATCTTTCTCCAAGGACATTTCTTATCTTTCTATACTGTAGAGCCACCATTATTTTTCAGTTTGTACCACAGAAGCTGGAAATAGAAATGCCATTTCCCTGGGTCTTGTGGGCACTACCAGATGAATATAGTTCCATTCTTCTGTGAAAATCCTTTTCCCCAGCTCATTCTATCTGTACTAACCACCTCTACTCTTCCCTCTTCATTTCACTTCATTCACAGATGACATGCAGTTGCAATCCACAATGTTTCTTTTCTCTACTACTAGGCAGTATGATGAACAACTCCCATCTCCTTCCTCTCATATTTTTTGGCTTTCTGGAGTGTAACTAGGCAACACTGTTCATCATCTGCTCCAACTCAGTAGTCTACATTTGGGACTATGCTCATATCATATTAAAGCTGAGAACTGTCCTCTCTGTGGTTCTAGAGGACATGTTCTACAGTTTCATGCCTTTATTCAGGCTGTGCTGTTTTCTTGGACTGCTAGGAATACTCTTTCCTGTCCTGTGCACCTGGGGAACACCTGTTCTATTTTGAAAGCAACTCAAAATCTCTGTACTGTAATTTGTGAAACTACTTCAGACTACTTCCCCTTTTCTCAGATTTTATTTTTCTCCCCTTATAGCTCTTATGTATTGTTTTAAGTTGTTGCTTCTGTGACATTTTCTTACATTTGTTTGTTTTACATGTATTGATATTTTTATCTTGTTACATTTCTTTTGAAATCAGGGTTGCACCTTCTCTTTATATCGTCATATATATTATATTGTGTATAATACATGTCTGGGGGGCTGGGGATTTAGCTCAGCTGCATAAGCACCTGCCTTGTAAAGCAGGCAGTCATGAGTTCCATCCCCGGTACCGATAAAAAGGAAAAAGACAAAAAAAAAAAAATACATGTCTGGAGTATCATACATATTCATTGAAAGTTGTTGAATGTATTATAACCTGAGTATTAATAGAAAATTCTGTTATCTTTTGGATTTTGAGGATTCCAGGCCTCTGATGCACAGTCATAGAACAGATATGTTAAGGAAAATAAGTATGTCAAAAGTTACCTAATGATATGGGAGATACTTAGCATACTTTTCCACTGTGTGTCAAGGGTTAAGGAGAACAGATTAGTTAGGTGGTGAGTTGGGAAAACATGTACCTGGAAGGTATAATAGGAAAGATTACTTTGGGCCAGTAAGAATTTATCAGGAATAAATTCTTGGTGGGTCAGATAATGTAATTTACAGTATCACCCACTGCATATTTGGAACCTCAGAGATTAAACTTAGTAAGTGCTTAATAATTATTGGTTGAAAAACTGAGCCAATAAAATAGTCTGGCTCAACCTGTTGGTTTTTATTGTGCAGGAACATATTGTTCCAGTCTAGAAAAAGCTGGAGAAAAGCTGGGGAATCATCACAGATTTTGGTATCTTTTAATGATTCTGATAATGTCCCATACTCAACGAGTGTAAGTGAAGCTTCTAAGTAGAAAAATGTCAGAAACATCTTAGGAAGAAAATTGAAGCAGGAAGAGGTGCAAAGCAAGGAAGTGATGGGGGCTCACTGCAATTGTTTTGGTACATAATTTGCTTTGCTGAAGTGGCAGAAAGGATGGAGAGCAAAAACTAGACTCTAGGTGTTTTAAAGCAGATTACGGTTCAAGAACAAGCTGGGGAAAAAGATGGAGAATTTGAAATGAGATCACTATGTTTTGTTCTTTTAAATGAAGTTCTTGTGAATAATGTATGTTATTGCAATCTATACTGCAAAATATTTTATAGCAGTCGAGTGTTTTCATTATTTTTTTCTGGCTGTTCAGATAGGGAAAGGGACTACCTGTGTTCCTATCCAAGGATGTCACTCTGGACATTAGTTTTTTTTATTAGTCCCGCGAATTCTCAGTTAGTAGGGAAAAGTAATTGGTGTAACGAAAGAATGACGAAAATAGAGCCGTTCGGCTCCTCCCAGTGATCTTTCCAGGAAGCCTAGACTCAGAGACCCGCCCACTTCCCCAGCCCGCCTCCTCATTAACCAATCAGCGTTTCGTTATGTCATCACCGCGCGCTGTTTTATTACGTAGCGTAGTAGAACGCGACCACGTGTACTGTGTTGACTGTCAAAGTCTGAGGGAACCCAGTTTTCGGAAGCTGTGAGTTCAGATAGAAGTTTCTGCACCTGATTTCCCGGTTTGTGCGAATCCCGAACCATGAGCGCCCCCGGCGTGCTGTCCTTTACCCAGCAAGGGTGGGAGCTGGTACTGGCCAAAGTAAAAAGGGCTGTGGTCTACCTAGATGCCGCCTGCGCGGAGAGTTTGCACTGGGGTTGTGGATCCACCCGTCTCATGGAGGCAGTGGGGGATCCTGTGTGCTACCTACGGGAGTTCGAGCCTAATGCAATTGGTGGCAAAACGGAGCAGCCCAAGGCGGTGTTTGTATTGAGCTGCCTGCTGAAAGGCCGGACTGTGGAGACCCTACGAAACATCATTTGCCGCAGTCACTTCCAATATTGTGTGGTGGTCACTGCCTTGAGCCACGCTGTTCATCTCACGGCTAACCACGTGCCAGCGGCTACAGCGGCCGAGCTAGAGGGACAACAACCGGTATTTGAGCAGTTAGAGGAGAAGATGTGTGAGTGGATGGGCAGCATGAATTACACGGCAGAGGTGCTGCACGTACCATTGTTGCTTGCTCCTGTTGCTCCTTATCTTGCCTTGACTCCAGCCTTTGCTTCCGTTTTTCCACTACTACCCCAAGACTTACATCTACTTAATAGTGCCCGATCGGACAAGAGGAGGCTGGGAAACTTGGGTGAGGTGGATGCCACTGCCCTGACCCCAGAGCTGATGCTGCAGATGCGGTGCCTGGTGTCAGGCCTTAGTTCTTTATGTGAACATTTGGGAGTTCGAGAGGAGTGTTTTGCTGTGGGTGTCCTCAGCCGGGTCATCGCTGCAGATCTGGCCAATTATGCTCCTGCCAAGAACAGGAGGAAGACTGCTACAGGCAGAGCATCTGTAGTCTTTGTGGATAGAACTCTGGATCTCACAGGTAAGTGGCATTGCCACTGAATTCTTCATAATCCCTCTTCAGGATGCAATGACTTTCACTGATTCAGCATATATTCATTGGCTTCTTGCTGTACCTCAGATTGGGTGTAGAAGATGATCTCGTTGGACATAGTTACTATTTACGCAGCATTTAAAGTTTAGTATAGTTTAGAGGGGACAAAACGAATAATTACAGTATAATTTGTTAAATATGACCTCAACGTGCACTGACGTTAAAACAACTGCATGTAGCTCAGAAGACTGGAAAATGGATTTATGCTTACAGAGAACTGTACACTTGGAAACCTTAAAAAATTTGCATATGTCAGTATTGACAACTCTTTTTGAGTGGGTTTGAACCTGTTTCAGCCTCCCCGAATGCTGGCATTATAGGCATGTGCCACCATGCCCAGCTAGTGATAGGTTCTTTTCTTTCTTTGAGAGATGAATTGTAACTTTTTTATTGGAAAGGAAACATAAAACTTAGAATGGATTTGAAGCAAATTATGCCATAAGATTTTGTTTAAGTGATTGAACAAAGTTAAAAAAGCAAGTAACAATAAGAAAATGTTTCTGGTATGAGACCAGCAATACAAAAAGGTGCGAATACCTGGATAATTTACAGTAATGCAGTTTTTAAGTATATATTGTTGACTGTCCGTGGTCCACGAAGTTACAACTCCACACTTCAACAACAACATGTTGAACAAAGCTAAAGAAAACTACTTAAAAAAAGGCGTAACGCAGGTATTCCCAACTCCATCTAGGTCATATTCAGGGTAAGCACATACAACATGTTACTATCAGTTTTCTAAAATAAAGTTTCAGGGCAATGACAATAAGATAAGGGAAGAAAACATGAACAAATGAAGTCCTAATTCTTCCTATACATGTGTATTTATTTGACAGCAGGGACAGCTTTTTACAGAGAAGTTACAAATAAAGAAAATGCAAAAAAAAATTTTATACAAGAAATTAATACATTCTATACACTGTCTTAACTTTGCTGTCCTCATTTGTACAAACTTTTCATGGTTTACATTGATATCACCATCAATATCTACCTCCCTGGTCATTTCATCAACCTTTTCATCTGTTAACTTGTCTCCAAGAATTGCCATCCATGTATGGTGAAGCTCTGCTTTACAAATATAACCTTTGGCATCTTTGTCAAACATGTGGAGTGCTTTTTTAGTATCTTTTTCGTTGTTGGTCTCTTTAATTTTTCTTGCCACCATTGAAATTCAGGGAAGTCAATTTACCATTACTATCAGCATAAATATGCATGTATAGAAATTAGGACTTCATTCGTATAGGAATTAGGACTTAATTCGTAACTGCTTCTGTGGAATTCTGTTCAAGAGACTTTATTACAGTAGTCAGTTCTTTGGGGGTTACAGTTCCATCACTATCCTTGTCAAATAGTGAAAAAACTTCTTTGAATTATGCAGTTTTTTCATACAGTTGGTTAGCAATGCTACAAGTTGCTATTCATAGAGGTATGCAGGTATCTCTGTAATATGAGGTCTTGAAGTCTTCTGGAAAGATACCTAAAAGGAGAATAACTGGGTCAAATGGAATTTCTATGTTCAATAGTTTGAGGAATCTCTATACTGATTTTCACCATGGTTGTGGTAGTTTATACTCCCACCCTCTCCAACATTTGTTATTTGATTTCTTGAAGATAATCATTCTTTATGGAGTGAAGTGTAATCTCAGTGTTGTTTTAGTTTGCATTATTCAGATGACCAGCCATGTCGAACATTTTCATCTATGTAATGACCATTTGTATTTCTTTATCTGAGAAGTGTCTGTTTATTTCAGATGCTCATTTCTGATTGGATCTTTAAATTTGGGGAGGGGTTCTAAGTTTTTGGGTTTTTTATACAGTCTAGATGTTAGCCTTTTGTCTGAGGAAGAGCTGGCAAATTTTTTTCCCATTCTGTAGGCTGTCTCTCTTCACTCTGTTGGTGGTTTCTGTTGCTGTGAAGAAGCTTTTTAATTCAATGTGATCCCATTGCTTACCCTTGGTATTATTTCTTATGCAACTTGGGTTCAGCTCAGGAAGTCTTTATAAGTTTTACCTGTTTGGTCTTCCAGCAGATTAAAACAACTTTCTGTTTTAATATGTAGACATTTGATCCATTTTGATTTTGGTTTATTGCATGGTGAGAGATATGAACCTAGGTTGTCTTTTGCACGTGGACAGCCAGTTTTCCCAACCACCATTTTGTTAACAAGGCTGTGTTTCCTCCGGCAAAAGTATTTGGCCTCTTTGTCAAAGGTAAGGTAGTTGGGTATGCGTAGAATTGTTTGTGCATCCTCTATCCTGTTCCATCCGTTAACAGCTTTGTTTGTTTGTTTTTACAATACTGTACTGTTTGTTTTGTATCACTGTAGCTTTTTAGTATAACTCAAATCTGAGACTGTGATGCCTTTTATCTATTGCCCAGAACTGCTTTAGGTATTCTAGATTTTTTTTTTGGGGTTTCATGTGCATTTTAGGATTGTTTATACTAGTTCTGGAGGAGTGATACTGATATTTTGGTAGGGATTGCCTTAAATCTGTGTAACAGTTTTGGAAGTATGTTCATTTTGACTATACTAGTTCTGTCCTTCCAGGAATGGGTGCTGTAGTTTTTCAGGGTGCTGTAGTTTCCACTTCTTTATTTAGGTTAATTCTTATGTATTTATTTTTTCTTGGTGCTGTTCTGAATAGTATTTTTCCTTAATTTCTTTCTCAATGGGCATATTATACAGAATGGCTTAGCTTACAGAAATGCTATGTTTTTATATGTTGATTTTGTATGTACATTACTGAATTTGGTTATGAACGACTAAACAGTTTGCCCTGAACATCACTGGAAGAGCACATTTGTTTATGTACTGACTATCCCAAGCATGGAATGAGCAGGTGTCATTTCAACCAGTTGATTCTTGTATTGAATAAATTCAATAAATTTTTTTTTCTGGTACCAGGGATTGAACTCACAACCTCATACTTGCCAGGCAGGCACTTACAGCGCTGAGCAAAATCCCCAGATCCAAAATTTTCATTTTTTAAAAAAATTTATTTTATTTTATTTAAAGAAAAAAATAGAAAAAGAGTAAAAACAATACATAATTTCAAAAGAATAAACAGTAAGAATTCACTAGTTGATAATTATATATTGTCTTCTTAGAAATAGTTGTTCAAGTTACAAAAGTAAAGCATACAAAGTAGACATTTAAACAGTGAGACTGCAAACAGTTCTGTTCAGCTATCCAACAAAAACTTAGTAATATGGTTATCAATCCTACTCACTTAAACATACATGCAGTTATATCCTTTAGAGCACTATCTTTTCCTCTTTTTAACAATAGCGATTACGCATTTTGAGTTTTATTACTCCTACATTTCTTGTTACTAAAATTTTCATTTTTATATCTTCTGTTATATTATCTTACAAAATTAATGGAAAAATATGTAATTTTTGTCATTCTGTATTTAAATAATAGGACTGGTAAGTGGTTATTTCTAAGAATCTTTTGTGGGTTTCATGGGGTTTTTTATGTAGAGGTCATGTCATTTGCAAATAATTATAATTTAACTTTTTCTATACATATCTATATATTGCTTTTTTTTTTTTTTTTTTTTTTTTTGCCTAATGTTCTTGCTCATGTTTTTTTGTTTTGTTTTGTTTTTTTTAATCGGTACCAGGGATCGAACTCACGACCGCCTGCTTGCAAGGCAGGTGCTTATGCCGCTGAGCTAAATCCCCAGCCCCTCTTGCTCATGTTTTGAGTACTATGTTAAACAGAAGTGGTGATACTGGACATCCTTTTCCTGTTCTTGATTTCAGAGGAAAAGCTTTCAGCGTCTCTCCATTTAGTATGACATTGGCAGTAGATTTGGCATAAAAGGCTTTTATCACATTGAGATAAGGTCTTTTTATTTTCTTCAGTGTTTTTGTCATGGAAGGGTGTTAGATTTTGTCAATGACATAATTTTTGTCCTTTCTTCTGTTTGTATGATGTATTACATTTATTGATTTGTGTGTGTGTTAAACCATTTTTGTATCCCTGGGTGAAGCCTAGTTGGTCATAATGTATAATCTTTTTGATTATTTGTTGTATTCTGTTTGTGAGTATCTTGTTGAGAAGTTTTGTTCCATATTCATTAAAGAGATTGGTCTATAGTTGTCTCTTTTGACTAAATCCTTTCTGGTTTTGAAATCAAGGTAATGATAGCTTTCAGGAATGACTTTAAGAGTATTCCATTCCTTTCAATTTGATTAAAAAGCTTGAAATTTTTGTAGAGTTAAGTAGCAATGAACCCACCCTGGGCTTTTCTTAGTTGGTAGATTTTTTTTATTACTACTTCAATTTCCTTGCATGTTGAGTTATTTGAATTTTTATATCTTCTTTGTTCATGTTTGATATTCATTTTTTATTTTTCGAGATAGAGCCTCATCATGTAGTGTAGCCTGGCCTTGAACTCTGACAGGCTGGCCTGGAATTCACAGTCATCCTAGTATCTCAACCTCCCAAGTGCTAGAATTAAAAATTTACTCATTTTTATGAATTCTTCAATTTATTGGCATGCAGATTTACAAAGTAGTTGTTAATATCTTTGATTTATTATAATATTGGCAGTAGGTTTGTCATAAATGATTTTGATCAGATTAGGAAAATTTCCTTCTCTACGTATGTTTTTCAGGGTTTTTATCATGAGTAGATGTTGAATTTTGTCAAGACTTCTGCATTAATTGAGATAATTGTGTAATTTTTGTCTTTGTTTCTGTTCATATGGCATATTACATTTACTGATTTGCATATATCAAACTATCCCTGCATCCCTGGAATGAATTCTGCTTGGTCATGATAGATGATCTTTTTGATGATTTGCTGCACTCTTTTTTTTCAGTATCTTATTGGTGATTTATGCATTGATGTTCATTAAACAGATTGGCTAGTAGTTCTTTTTGGTTGAGTCTTTTTCTGGTTGTGGAATAAGAGCAA